AGATACATATATAATTATCTTGAAGGTATTTTCAGTAGGTGGTGTAGGTTTATAATCTACCAAGACTCGCGCCGAGTTGGACTCATCGACTGTCTTTTGGATATTTAGAACAAACATTTTACGAGTATCACCCGTTAAGTGTAGTAGTATTAACGTTGTAGAAGATAGTGAACGTTTGACCGCTAAGGTGCAGTCTGTATATAGTACAGACAGATCCGTCTGAAAAAATCGATCTGCTGACACACGAAGCTTTCAGAGGATTTTTGACGTTTTTGAGTCCCATTAGGTGCCCTTTATGGCTGACCAACTTTTCCAAACTTTTCCACGTGTCTTAAGGCCACTTTTTGCCACTTTACCACTTTTTACCACCTTTCTTGTTTGTCGAATATCTTTAGTTGTGAACATCGTAAAAGGTTGCGAATCAATCGAGTGTGTTCATATTATCAGGAAGAAAAACTTTTGTTGAAACAATTTTTACGTCAGATAATAAGTTAATTGGATAATTATCAATTAACTATTAGCAAAATTCTAAAAATTTTTTATTGGCTTAAAATGATCGGAATAGCTTGAAACACGGAGAAAAGTAGTTTTTTGAAAATATTTGAAAATTTTTCACTTACATTTTTTTTTCGAGACTTCGAAAAATTTCGAAAATTCAAAATATTTTTTTCCGCCAAAAGTGATCAAATTGCATGAAAAGCGGAAAAAAATGATTTTCAAAAAAAACTTAGTCAATTTTTCGTTTCAAGAATACTTAAATCACCAATATTTGTAGTTGGAGTTCAGTAAATCTCGGCAGATTTTAGTAATAATCAGGAATTACTAACTCTAAGTGGAAAGGTCTGAAACTGAAAAACGTTAAGTTTAACCATACGATCGCGATATAAGAGTTTCATAACTAATTACAATACAGCCTTATCGATTTTCACAGAAACTGCACCAATGGCACAGTCAAGATCGAAACGATAGCCTGCTGTACTGTCATTTTATTGATTTCAATGATGAATCAGTGGGGTTAAGATAATCACATTTGTAATAAATAAGACATATCTGTACCGTCAATTGTGCTAATCTAAACCGGCTTACTTGTATTACCATTTACCAGACCTCTTCTTTTCCTCAACAATCTAACCGAGTTGTTCATATCGCATTTGGTGGGCGATGTAAGTAGTAATACATATCGAGCTATATTCAATCACAATACGACACAGTACGTGTATATTATATGGCTCTGAATGAGGTTTATGAAACGCTTTATACCGTGAGAAACTCGGTATAGAGAGGTTTTACAGTTTATCGCGAAAATGTCCACTTGGTCTCATGGCTCATTTACAGTTCGAAGAAGGGCAAGAACAGATCAGGGAAACTGAGGAACAGCCAGGTCCAGGAAGCAAGTGTAAATACACCTTCCAACATCTACTGTGACTGTTTTGTATTGTACTGCATACCGCTTCATTTGCGGGATACCTCAAATCACCCTCATATGTCAGGGTCGGCTAAAAGTAAAATCAACAAGGGTAACATACGGGAAAGGGTAAGATTTAGATACGAGTACAGTGTCGGGCAAGGGGTAGTAAAGAACCAGTAATAATTAATTCAGTGAAATGTTCCACGAGAGTCAGGATATTTTGGAAATTGCTAATAGAGACAGATCCTGATCAGGAAGGATTGTTAATGTTATTGAGGATGTTGATTTGAAATCCGGACGTCGTGAAGTAAAAATACAGGTTCTTCCCGCAGGATATTCGGGGCCCATGATGATCAGCTCGGGATTAATGTGGGACAGATCGAAGACTAACAACTGAACCCAATTGAACCTAGTTCCCACTAACGGGAACCGGTCACTGCGGCGGAAGTCACTGCGGCGGTGGACGGTACAGCGGAGGACGGTACGGCGGTAGTTTCCAAAAAGGTTGGACGGTACGGCGGATCACATGACACCCACTTTACTTTGGACAGTACGGCGGTACTATTACTACAAACTGTACCTAAGACAGAACTTACACATTCAACTTGTTTCTAAGTTTTGTTCTAGATTCGCATTATAAGTTTTATTTTTTCTTTTCTCTTAATCATTTTGTATAATTCTTGTTAGTTTAGTTGTTCATTTTTTATTCAGGGCTTTGCAGACAATGTAAATCGAGAATATTAAGTTGTTGAAAAGGGTGTAATGTCGTCTTTCCATCTTTGGAGTAGCGGAAACCACGGTGTAGAAGGTTCTGACTCTTAGCAGTTCTCCCTCTGACCACCTTCACCGTATCTTCATCGAACATCATTGTAGCTGTTGTACTCAAGTTGTAGTGTTGCAGTACTGGAGAGTGGAGATGGTAGTACTAATGTAAATGAGATAATCTCCTCAACTTTGATCCGCTTTATATACTGTTTGCCTCTATGATTATCTACGTTTCACTGAGCAACCTCTCTTCTTGGCTACGGTTGATCAGATTCCTGGATGCGATCCCTCGTGACGTGTTCTCATGCCCTTGTTATTACCCATTGCATCTCGGCGCAGTGATATGAGATGTCACCGTAACAAGCTCATCATGCACTCGCTGAACCACCGTTGTGCAGACCGGACGCGATCTGATACGAACCAGAAAGTGGGACAAGAACTGCTCTTAGTAATCACAATGTATATGTTCAACTTTATCCAATTTAATTTTAATTAAAATTAATTTCGAAGTAACAAAGAGGAAAATAGAACTTTTTAAAGCTAATCGATTTTGTTATATTAGCAGTGCTAGGTCTATCTTATAGGTACAGTTTCTAGTAGAAGTAGTACCGCCGTACTGTCCAAAGTAAAGTGGGTGTCATGTCACATGTGATCTGCCGTACCGTCCAACCTTTTTGAAAACTACCGCCGTACCGTCCTCCGCTGTATCGTCCTCCGCCGGACTGTACACCGCCGCAGTGACTTCCGCCGCTGCGTCCTATACCCCCCACTAACCGATCAGCTTAATTGGTTAGGGTTAGGGTTAGGGTTAGGGTTAGACTTAGAGTTAGGGTTAAATGTCTAAATTGGGTTCAGTTGTCCGGTAGCCCGCTCTTGCGAGTTGACATTCTAAGCTTTCTGGTCTTTTCTTGCCTTCTTTGAGCTGTCAAAGAGCCATGAGACCAAGTAGACGTTTTCGTGATAAACTGTAAAACCTCTCCATATCGGGCCTCTCACGGGAGAAACGAGAAGTGTACGGTATAGAACGTTTCACTTTCATATACCTCATTAAGGGCCATAATATAATATACATGTGTTGCATTGTGTCGTATTGTGATTGAATATAGCTCGATATGTATTACTACTTACATCACCCACCAAATGCGATATGAACAACTCGGTTTGATTGTTGAGGAAAAGAAGAGGTCTGGTAAATGGTAATACAGGTAAGCCGGTTTAGATTAGCACAATTGACGGTACAGAGATGTGTTATTTATTACAAATGTGATTATCTTAACCCCACTGATTCATCATTGAAATCAATAAAATGACAGTACAGCAGGCTATCGTTTCGATCTTGACTGTGCCATTGGTGCAGTTTCTGTGAAAATCGATAAGGCTGTATTGTAATTAGTTATGAAACTCTTATATCGCGATCGTATGGTTAAACTTAACGTTTTTCAGTTTCAGACCTTGCCACTTAGAGTTAGTAATTCCTGATTATTACTAAAATCTGCCGAGATTTACTGAACTCCAACTACAAATATTGGTGATTTAAGTATTCTTGAAACGAAAAATTGACTAAGTTTTTTTTTGAAAATCATTTTTCTCCGCTTTTCATGCAATTTGATCACTTTTGGCGGAAAAAAATATTTTGAATTTTCGAAATTTTTCGAAGTCTCGAAAAAAAATGTAAGTGAAAAATTTTCAAATATTTTCAAAAAACTACTTTTCTCCGTGTTTCAAGCTATTCCGATCATTTTTAGCCAATAAAAAATTTTTAGAATTTTGCTAATTAGTTAATTGATAATTATCCAATTAACTTATTATCTGACGTGAAAATTGTTTTAACAAAAGTTTTTCTTCCTGATAATATGAACACACTCGATTGATTTGCAACCTTTTACGATGTTCACAACTAAAGATATTCGACAAACAAGAAAGGTGGTAAAAAGTGGTAAAGTGGCAAAAAGTGGCCTTAAGACACGTGGAAAAGTTTGGAAAAGTTGGTCAGCCATAAAGGGCACCTAATGGGACTCAAAAACGTCAAAAATCCTCTGAAAGCTTCGTGTGTCAGCAGATCGATTTTTTCAGACGGATCTGTCTGTACTAATAGTGCAGAGGGTGGGGGAATGTTTAGTACTTTAATCTAGTATTAGAGTGTAAGTGTTATATAGATTAGTAGTAGTAGCCACTAGTGACCGTCCCTATTTTAGGGCTGACCTGGGCCAATACTCCAATATAATAATATGCCAAAATATTTAAAAATATTCAAAATAGTAATTAGGGACGGTTATCTAAGAACATTATTACGTAGAGATAGAAATTGCTTGTTGTATATGATTTTGCTTGCTATATTTTAGATTGTATTGCGATTTGCTTCAAGGTTTTCTTCAGAAATTTACACCTTATCGTGCAATGTGAGATTATTATAATTTATAGTACGGCCTATATTTTGGTATCTAATTAGCAAATCATCTGTTTGTACTTAGTCCTATTTTAACACGATGGTTAGATTTTGATCGTGGACAACTTATATCAATATCATTCTAAATGGACCAGTTCGTTAACCATGTCAATGATCGTTGCTTGTCAATTCCAAAGAGATGCCAGGTTTTTACTTCTAGGAACGCGCGATTGTATTTTCACTGACATTTAGCACTGAGATATTTGCGCGCGCGCCTTTTTCCTTGCGGTAAAACATGTGGAAATTCCTATTTTCACGTGTTCTACAGTGATTACTAAACCACAAACTAAGCCTCATATCAGTGTGAAGATTTGCAATTAAATTACAGGCAATTTTTCTTTTAATTTGATTTAAAGTTGCGTCCAATTGCTTTCATTTCAGCTCCAGCGAGTGAAGAACGATCAACCGTAAGTTACAAACAGTGCACATTTCCCTGCACGGTGAATGATCCATATCATAATCTGAACGACGTGAAATACTTACACTACACGTTGTAACTGGGTCACGTGTTACATTCCGTCTTATCCCACCAAAACTCCTCTCATAACAACACTCTGTTTAAATCTAACTTGGCATTTCAGTTTGTAGTAAAATTAAAGAAAACCGACTCTGGCAGTTTGGGTCTCAGCATAGTGGGAGGACGGAGCAGCAGGCTGGGGGATATCGGGGTGTTTATAAAGTCAACTATTGACAACACCCCCGCGGCTTCTAATGGACAACTTAAACCATGTAGGTTGTTTTTAGTTGTTCATTTATAAAGTTCATTCTGTAGATAATATGGGGACTTGTTTTGTTTGTTTATCCGAGCTGAACAACCTTTCTTAACCTGTACATCCTTGTATCAACCGGATGATCTGTTAATCTAAATATTTATGGCTGACGGAATTTTTAAAGAAACAGATTGGTAATCCAAGAATTGTGTAAAAGTTAAAAGTAATAAAAAATAGTTTGTATCAGTAGTGACTTTTATTTAACTATATGCTACTTAAGTTACAACAAATATGTCAACAAACAGGGGATCAAATACTGAAAGTAAATAACGTTGAACTGGACGGGAGAACCCTGGAAGAAGCCTTGATGATTATAAAGGAACAATCTACTGACATAACTCTAACTATCCTGCCCTCGGAGCAAGCTACTGCTCATCTCGGTGAGATTCTGGACACCATTAATTGTAATATCTGGATCGGAACATTATTTATTAGTCGCACACTTGTTATGTTTCTTTCCTGATAAGAGCCTTTTCCTTGTCGCAACAAACGGGATCAATACAAATTTTGCCAAGAAACATTAATTGTTATCTGATATACATAGTATCTTAGTGATAATGCGTATGGTGATTATATATTATAGCTTTATGGTAAGCTTATTGAATTATTGTAAAGGTATGACAGGTAGGTATGGCATCAACATTTAACAATGTACATTGTACATTGTACATGTTACCTGAGCAATACTACATGTAATACCTGTGCCCTGTGGCATTCGGAATGCGGAATGTTATTTCAGTAATGAAAATCACCAGAATTATTCTGGTACTATGAAATTGCTGATTGTCGTTCAATGTTCATAGTTATCATATTTTATTAACATCAGCTTTTTCAGAAGCGTCACTGAGCATAAAAGCTGGTCAAATGGACGATAACAAACTAAAGGTAAATAAGCTTTTATATTTTTCAATATTAAGACTTAGTTTAAAACTCAGACCGTTATTTTGCCAGTTTTAGTTCGTTATTGCATGAAAATTACAGTTTCGCAGTTCTGAGATAACGTATGTCTTGTGACTACAGATACGTAAGAAATTGCACTCTGCTTTGCCACGTGTAATTGACAGTTTTACAATAAAACGCAGCTTTATTATTTATTTATCTTTTCAGATATTTCTAATGTTAGTTTATAAACTAACATTAAAATATCTTAAAAGCCTATATTATAAGCTAACATTAACATTATCTGACACACATCTCCAATATAGGACGGACAGACTGTTGAACAACTACTGACAAAAGCATTCTGTTCCTCTTCACTTCACCCCCTAGACTGCGGTATCATGACTACACAGACGGCTCCACAGACGACCCCACAGACGACTCCACAGACGGCTCCACAGACGACTGACACTGAACTGGTCTCTTCCCAGATCAATCCACCTGCCGTTCTTAGCTTAAAACCATTTCTTCTCGGCTCCCCACCTATGAGAATCCAGCAAAATGTCACGTGTTGTATTTTGGACAGGCCAGTTACCGAGCCCCAGGCCTCAACACGTAACCGCCCAACATCCCTCGCCATCACACCCCTACACACTAGTCAGACAACTGAAGACAAACATTCCCCGCTCCATACATCTCCATCATCAGCGGCAACTCCCCAAAATATTCCCCCAGGAACTCCTCTATAATCTCCTCTAAAGGGTCCCCCCAGATTTCCCCCATCAATAGAAACTGTCCCTTTCCCCGACTACCAAGTGAGGCAGGGAAGGCAGCGAGGAAAGTAAGGGATGGCTACAGAAAGAGGGATGATGAGGTTACCCCTCCCCCGTTGCAACAAACTATCCCCTTATCAGTGTTATCTGATAATATACCTGATAAGGAGATTACATCGTTATCAGCACTGTCGGGGGAACGTATTATTATAGGTTCAGACAAGATATATGACAACCTCAAATGCAAGCACCTTGACATTGACAAGACATCAGAACACAACATTGGTCTATCAGATAGTTTGAAGAGGGCTGCTAGTTCGACTGGAAATTTAATTAGGGCCAACAACAGGAAGAGACTAACAATTTGACTAAACAGCTAAAATAACTGCCGACGGTTATAAATACAAAATGTAAATGTTTTGTAACTCAATTTCCCTTTTTTTGTAAGAGATGGATCTTAAAAATGTACAATAAAAACAACATGATACTACCGACCACTAAATAATATTAAAAGTAGTAAATCAGCTATTGGGTGGAATGAGCCTCAATACTGTCAATAAATAGGATATTACATACATAAGTGTTGTATTTGTAATATACTATTTATTAAGTCAAGTTATATTATATAAACCTCCCAGAAGTAACATCAGTTTGTTTCCAGACAGAATGTAGTTCGTTAAGAGAAGAGGAAATAACATCAGCTGACTCCGGTACCATGAAAGGCAGCACTCCTCCACCTCAAGAAAACCACCAATATCCCCGCTCTACTGGTAAACCCTCCGCAAAGTTACCCGATAACGGGACTGATCTGGCGACTGAACTTCTGGGTGATGGTGGTTTCATGCCGGCATCATTGGCCTCCGGGACGTCACAGCACCGGAAAACAGTGGTGTCTTCCAGCGGACTCACGGACTCCGAGTCGTCGTTGAGTCCTGTTCCGGAGAATACGTTCAACGCGCGGGATGACGATGTGTTTTTCTCTATGTCCCCTCAATCGTACTCAAATTCCAGAGGAGATACAGCTGATGACATCATACACACTGATGACGTCATGTTGAATGGGGAGGACTTTATTTATGAGGAGAATCATGGGTATCAGGGAGGAATTGAGACGGACGCGATTAATGTTGATCTAGATATTGTTGTGAAGTAATCCAAAATGTTGTTAATTATTACTAATAATTAACTAATTAATTATTATTAGTATTTGTCTTGAAGTTTGTGAAAGACTTTATCTAGTAATTTTAAATTGAGCAATCTTCAGGATATAAGACGTTTTCCCTTTCATTAGAATTGTCTAGTGAACAGTTATTGCTGTTTTAATATTATTATTTATTATTAAGCTTTGAATTCCTGATCTGCTAAAGTCCATGCAAATCGAAAATTGTTCTAGAAATATAATGATTAAATTGTTTAATAATGTCGGTGTATTGATAATTTTAAACTTCTAAAGGAAAATTCTAGAAAATGTGTTTGCCTTGATTCAAGGTTAAGATGATTTACAATTAGATAATTTTATAACCGATTGGTTATGAACCATGAAATGGTAGGTCCATGATAGGCAATTAGCTAAACTTTTTAATCTGTTAGTTTATGCAAACTTTGAGTATCTGCTGCTATACAGTATACATTCCATTAACCAACCAAGAATTTTGATAAAGTTCACGTGATATTACGTCATCATCCTAATGGTAAAATTGTTGTGGAATTTCCCGAAATTAGAATATTATTTTTACTCTCAGCAGTAACGGATGTTCAGTTGGATGATGATAAATTTTAAAATGAATAAAAATTAGCAGCCAAAAATCTTTAAAATCTTGCCGACGTAATTTGTGAAGTGTGTTATAAAAGAGCTGTGTTATTTATATGTATTACATGTTAAACTTAATACTAACAGAAGCTAAGTGAAGTAGTATTACAGAATGTTATCATTTTTTTTAGAAAGAGAGATAGAGAGAGAGAGAGAGAGAGAGAGAGAGAGAGAGAGAGAGAGAGAGAGAGAGAGAGAGAGAGAGAGAGAGAGAGAGAGAGAGAGAGAGAGAGAGAGAGAGAGAGAGAGAGAGAGAGAGAGAGAGAGAGAGAGAGAGAGAGAGAGAGAGAGAGAGAGAGAGAGAGAGAGAGAGAGAGAGAGAGAGAGAGAGAGAGAGAGAGAGAGAGAGAGAGGAGAGAGAGAGAGAGAGAGAGAGAGAGAGAGAGAGAGAGAGAGAGAGAGAGAGAGAGAGAGAGAGAGAGAGAGAGAGAGAGAGAGAGAGAGAGAGAGAGAGAGAGAGAGAGAGAGAGAGAGAGAGAGAGATAAACCGATTCCTGGTTGGAGGCCGGAGGGTCTCCGTTGGGAGTTGATGGTATATTGAACAGAATACATAGAATTGTATTGATAGTTGTGATTTAGCCTTTTGTCCATTATAGCACTAGTATTATTTGTATTGTGTGGACATGCACAGTTGCCGTAATTAACAAGTATTAAATAGTATCCGAATCATTAAGTTACAATTTTAATTTTGATCAATTAATAAATTGTATCAGAAATAATATCACAATAACATGTAATATGATTTTTGAAATAATCTATTAACATTCCACAAATGCACTTATCAACATTAAGTTATTATTCGAATATCCGAACGTAATTTTGACGATATTCACACTTTACACAATTACATTAATTATTAAAAATTATAATAATTTGCAAATTATCATCAATTGATAACATTAATGCTTCAATGAAATAGTTCATAGTTTGGATTGTGCAATTTTGCAATGTTTTTAATTTTCCAAACTATTTTCTGAGGATCGTCCAGCAATCAAATTGGCAAAATGTTTACTCTCGTTCGAACATAGCCATTCCCTTTTTCTGCAACGATAAAGTTATAAACGTCTCGTGTTCGGCGATAGTGTGTTTACTGTTTACAGCTTTTATTTATTTATTTATTTATTTATTTATTTATTTATTTATTTATTTATTTATTTATTTATTTATTTATTTATTTATTTATTTATTTATTTATTTATTTATTTATTTATTTATTTATTTATTTATTTATTTATTTATTTATTTATTTATTTATTAATTTATTTATTTATTTATTTATTTATTTACTTACTTATTTATTTATTTATTTATTTATTTATTCATTCATTCATTCATTCATTCATTCATTCATTCATTCATTCATTCATTCATTCATTCATTCATTCATTCATTCATTCATTCATTCATTTATTTATTTATTTATTTATTTATTTATTTATTTATTTATTTATTTATTTATTTATTTATTTATTTATTTATTTTATTTACCCTAATCCTGACACACAATACTATGAGTGAGTTCACTCATAATTGATGGATATTCAATTAATTAATAATTGATAAATATTAATTGTGTCGGCTTAGTGGCTCAGTTGGTTATTCTGCCTGACATTGCTTGAGGTACCAGGTTCGATTCCCGACTCTGTCACTAGCCGTGGGGTGATCAGCGTCGTCGACGCTCAGCTAAGGATCCTGAGTGATCTATGCAGCCCCCCGGTCTATTCAGCCAAATACTCGAGAAATCGGGTGTGAGGGATAAATGAGGAGCTGCCCATTGCAGCAAAGTCTCGGGCGAAGAAAGTATGGTACACACTACCTTAACCGGCACTGGCCTAATGTATAATTGGATCCTTCGGCTTCCTGTAATTGGCTGGTTACACACTTGTGTAACAATGTGGCTGTTGGAATGTCCGAAGTAAAATAAGTGTTGAGATTTAAAAAAAAACATTAATATTCAATCAAGGATTAACCTCGACTAGCTGCATAATTTCACCCACTTATCAGCTTCATCCATAATTAAGTTACCTCCACGTCCGTATTATGTTCTGTCTCACAACTCAACATAACGTACGAACAACAAAATCTGGGTCCGTACAATTTTTGCATAATTTTATGTATTTAGATCCGAGTTAACATAATTCGATTTCACTAGGGTGGGTACTTGCTACTTCACTGTTTGATCTGTAGGTCATGAAGAAAATCTTACAAATGTTTCGCATTCTGCCTCCGCGTTCACAATACTATAATACGTTTAACTTCTCTAAATTGGCAATGTTCATTCTCCTCCGCCGGTTTTAAACTTATGATATGCACATAGAAACAGGGTGTACCCTGTACAGGGTGTTTCCTGAATTTGTATGCATGTTTATTGTTTTGTTTTACCTAGTGTTCTGCGATTTCAATTACTCAAATGTTCGGGAGGGGCCGAGTAATTTGTTCATGGGCACTGAAATCTTGTTCCCTGAATCATTCCTTATCTTAGTCTTACATTTGCCATGTCCGTGACTAATTAAAATTATCATGCGCGATCATGAGAATTCTGATCGAATCCATCTGTTATCCTTCAATCTCCAGTTTTCACATTTCACGGCATCACACCTTTTTCTTATCAATTGTTTGGTAAATTCTGGAATGGATACGTTCCTTTATTCTTTGGATTGTGTTAAACATTTACCTTGCAGCACCTGCAGAATTTGTGGGCCTGGTTGAAATATAGGATGAAGTTTTTGAAGTTAGCTCTAACTTTATTCTGGTGTTAACTGTTATATTTGTGTTACGTAGGATGTCATAATATGTCAGTAGGACTGCACACCTTGTTTGAGAGTATATTATGTACCTACAGTCGGCCTGGCCGTATATTTTAATGAACGCACGAAAATTGAGATTGCTTGCGGAGATTATTTATTAACCCATCAGACCAGTCCAGCTGAAGTCCAGGCATTTTTTACAAAAAGAGACTAAATTAACCAGTTTAATCTATAAAAAGTTTACATTAACCAGTCTCTGACCGCTTCCGTGTCTGCTGGTCGGTGAAAGTTTCCGAGTTGATCTACTTATTCTAGGCGGTAGTTAAAAATACATCCAGTCAGAAAGTTAGAATAGTCTTGTTATAAACAATCCTGGTGATCTGGTAAAGATATTGCCATTGCTTTAGAGTTTAGAACAGCATTATTTTTAGCAAGCTTGGCAACCTGACAGCAACCTAGACCACCCATCTGCACAATAACATGATAATATCACTGAAAACCATGCAGCCCCGAAAGGTTTCCTCCATAGTCTGTCTGCACGACTGATCGGCTCCCCAGTGCTAGCTATACTGGTGTATCATCTGTCTGGAGAACCTTGAAGCCTGGCTTCTAACCCAGACCCCTGAACCACGTGACATCCACATTAAACCGACTTGGCTCACTGCCAGCCCCATTAGCAGCTCCATTAACACATGCTATCCAATATCACAGCTCCGTTCTGCCCACGTGATATTGTTTATTGGTCACGTGACTTATCAGGTGATGAACAGTATATGACAGGATTATTATAGCAGGGAAAAGCAGGATGTCTTGTACGGACAAATTAGAAGCTAGAATAGTGGTGTGGACTGTGGGGTGAAAGTCACGTGACCCGGGCGCCGTGGTACAGACTTTCTGACGACATTGTTAACTATACACTATCTCCTTTCATATATGTGGTACAATAACTGCAGCATCTACTGTATACCGTTGTTTCTGCTTGACAGCTGATATACTGATAATTACCCTTAGCTGTATACTTAGTAAGTAAGTTACCCTGGGCTGTTGTTTTTTGTTTTTTTGAGTTGATCGCACGTTGTTGTATCGTATCTTTTTGGTAGGTGTCACATTGTATTTGTAAAGCTGTAGTTTTGAGAAGAGTTACCTGGTGGTAGATGAGACCGAGAAAGCAAGAGGAGAACGCTTCCACCACCAGTAAGTTTTGTCTTTATATCTGTTTAAAGCTATTGGATTAACTATTTAATCACTTGAATGTATATGGTTCACCGTCTGAAATCTCTATATCGTCTGATCAGGATAACTCAGCAAAGTTTCCACGTAAAAACACCGGATAATAGCGGATCATGCATGTCTCCAACACTTCCAAAGAACACTACTTGCTCTATAAGAATATCACATTACTACTCAATACTCCTTCCTAAATCCTTACTAATGGACTATATGAATACGAGCGGGGTTGTTATAACTGTGTATACCCTAGGGCCCTATCTTGTCAAGTAATATCCATTAACATCTCATCACCTCGTTCACATGTCAGACATTTGCTCCTTCATAAACATAATCATCATGCTGAATAGTCACCTTGTTTCTAATCTGTTACCTGCCGGCTGCATGGATATGGTTGCTGGTGATTTAAGGACTCATTAGGGTCTGACATATTGGTTATTGATTGATTTTCACTGTGAGGTTGATCGACCATTGATGATTTTTTGGCGATCAACTTTCTTGTTTTGTTTGTTGGACCGTTGATGTTACAGTTAAGAATTAAGTCAAAACAGGTCGTCCTGGCCATAAACAATCTTATAAGCCGTCGATAGTTGATACCTCAAATCGTTGATAGTTGATACCTCAAATCGTTGATAGTTGATAGTTGATAGTTGATAGTTGATAGTTGATAGTTGATACTTGATACTTGATACTTGATACTTGATACTTGATACTTGATACTTGATACTTGATACTTGATACCTTGAGGTGCTAATTATAGTTCATGATACTATAGTCTCACATTTCACAACCCAAACCCGGCCCACATTCTTACATGATCTCTAGTTCCTCTCCATGATAAACGACCCAACACACATTATAATGCTCCTTCATAAACATAATCATTATGACATGAGACACCTCTAATTACTTCAGTGACACCTATAAAGATGCTAATTAGGTCCAAACGTTTCTTTTAATTCCTATTAATAGCTCAAACTTTGACGTTTATATCCGGTTGCAAGTTATTAAGTTATTAAGGAAGCACACCTTGTGGTGGGGTTTAGTGTTAAAATGGAAACCTCTAGTCACTATCGGTGGGGTTTAGTGTTAAAATGGAAACCTCTTGTCACTATCGGTGGGGTTTAGTGTTAAAATGGAAACCTCTTGTCACTATTGGTGGGGTTTAGTGTTAAAATGGAAACCTCTTGTCACTATCGGTGGGGTTTAGTGTTAAAATGGAAACCTCTTGTCACTATCGGTGGGGTTTAGTGTTAAAATGGAAACCTCTTGTCACTATTGGTGGGGTTTAGTGTTAAAATGGAAACCTCTTGTCACTATTGGTGGGGTTTAGTGTTAAAATGGAAACCGCTTGTCACTATCGGTGGGGTTTAGTGTTAAAATGGAAACCGCTTGTCACTATTGGTGGGGTTTAGTGTTAAAATGGAAACCTCTTGTCACTATTGGTGGGGTTTAGTGTTAAAATGGAAACCTCTTGTCACTATTGGTGGGGTTTAGTGTTAAAATGGAAACCTCTTGTCACTATTGGTGGGGTTTAGTGTTAAAATGGAAACCTCTTGTCACTATCGGTGGGGTTTAGTGTTAAAATGGAAACCTCTTGTCACTATCGGTGGGGTTTAGTGTTAAAATGGAAACCGCTTGTCACTATCGGTGGGGTTTAGTGTTAAAATGGAAACCGCTTGTCACTATCGGTGGGGTTTAGTGTTAAAATGGAAACCGCTTGTCACTATCGGTGGGGTTTAGTGTTAAAATGGAAACCTCTTGTCACTATCGGTGGGGTTTAGTGTTAAAATGGAAACCTCTTGTCACTATTGGTGGGGTTTAGTGTTAAAATGGAAACCTCTTGTCACTATTGGTGGGGTTTAGTGTTAAAATGGAAACCTCTAGTCACTATTGGTGGGGTTTAGTGTTAAAATGGAAACCTCTTGTCACTATTGGTGGGGTTTAGTGTTAAAATGGAAACCTCTTGTCACTATCGGTGGGGTTTAGTGTTAAAATGGAAACCTCTTGTCACTATTGGTGGGGTTTAGTGTTAAAATGGAAACCTCTTGTCACTATTGGTGGAATTCTGAACTTGGTGTGAATTTGACTTGCAGATTGTTCATAAGCAAATGTTTTTTTCCGCAGCCAACTTTTGGAACAATCGAATTTGTTTAATTTCTTGTGTAACGTTAAACTTAACCACGATCAGGCGCATTCTTAATGGTTATTTCCCTTAAAAGTCACTAATACATTTCGTTATATCAATTAGTGACTATATTATCAGTAGGATTGTAGGAGTGGTATTTCAAAGAGATATTATTCTAGGGTAATAAAATACAACTTCCTGATGACCAGTTTCAACCCTTTTAATTCCTTCAGAACTCCCATCACTTGTACTATCATACCTCGTATGTTATCTTAGCTTATGTTATCTTAGTTAATGATTGGCCAATCTTTGTTGCAGCATGTCGAGATTTAATTTTTACTAGCAGGTTTCTTATTTTAAATCTAAATTATCCAAAGTATCTCAGAAATGTATAGTCAGTAAGAGCTTTAAGCAGTTTTCAATACTTTCTTCTCATTTCAGGCGCAAAGAAATGTGCAGACAATGTGACTGAGTTAACAAAGTTTCTAAAATCCTCACCCACAATCAACCGGCTCAGCGAAAAATCCAAAAGTAATGGTATGTTATGTACAGTGTACATTGTACATTGTACATTGTACATTAACTTGTATGTTATGTACAGTGTACATTGTACATTGTACATTGTACATTTACTTGTATGTTATGTACATTGTACATTGTACATTGTACATTGTACATTTACTTGTATGTTATGTACAGTGTACATTGTACATTGTACATTGTACATTTACTTGTATGTTATGTACATTGTACATTGTACATTGTACATTGTACATTAACTTGTATGTTATGTACAGTGTACATTGTACATTGTACATTAACTTGTATGTTATGTACAGTGTACATTGTACATTGTACATTAACTTGTATGTTATGTACATTGTACATTGTACATTTACTTGTATGTTATGTACAGTGTACATTGTACATTAACTTGTATGTTATGTACAGTGTACATTGTACATTGTACATTGTACATTTACTTGTATGTTATGTACATTGTACATTGTACATTGTACATTGTACATTAACTTGTATGTTATGTACAGTGTACATTGTACATTGTACATTAACTTGTATGTTATGTACAGTGTACATTGTACATTGTACATTAACTTGTATGTTATGTACATTGTACATTGTACATTTACTTGTATGTTATGTACAGTGTACATTGTACATTAACTTGTATGTTATGTACAGTGTACATTGTACATTGTACATTTACTTGTATGTTATGTACAGTGTACATTGTACATTAACTTGTATGTTATGTACAGTGTACATTGTACATTAACTTGTATGTTATGTACAGTGTACATTGTACATTAACTTGTATGTTATGTACAGTGTACATTGTACATTGTACATTAACTTGTATGTTATGTACAGTGTACATTGTACATTGTACATTGTACATTTACTTGTATGTTATGTACATTGTACATTGTACATTGTACATTGTACATTAACTTGTATGTTATGTACAGTGTACATTGTACATTGTACATTAACTTGTATGTTATGTACAGTGTACATTGTACATTGTACATTAACTTGTATGTTATGTACATTGTACATTGTACATTTACTTGTATGTTATGTACAGTGTACATTGTACATTAACTTGTATGTTATGTACAGTGTACATTGTACATTGTACATTTACTTGTATGTTATGTACAGTGTACATTGTACATTAACTTGTATGTTATGTACAGTGTACATTGTACATTAACTTGTATGTTATGTACAGTGTACATTGTACATTAACTTGTATGTTATGTACAGTGTACATTGTACATTGTACATTAACTTGTATGTTATGTACAGTGTACATTGTACATTAACTTGTATGTTATGTACAGTGTACATTGTACATTAACTTGTATGTTATGTATGTTGTATAGTGTACATTAAAGCTTGTATGTTATGTACAGTGTACATTGTACATTTACTTGTATGTTATGTACAGTGTACATTGTACATTAACTTGTATGTTATGTACAGTGTACATTGTACATTAACTTGTATGTTATGTACAGTGTACATTGTACATTGTACATTAACTTGTATGTTATGTACAGTGTACATTGTACATTAACTTGTATGTTATGTACAGTGTACATTGTACATTAACTTGTATGTTATGTATGTTGTATAGTGTACATTAACTTGTATGTTATGTACAGTGTACATTGTACATTAACTTGTATGTTATGTACATTGTACATTGTACATTAACTTGTATGTTATGTATGTTGTATAGTGTACATTAAAGCTTGTATGTTATGTACAGTGTACATTGTACATTTACTTGTATGTTATGTACAGTGTACATTGTACATTAACTTGTATGTTATGTACAGTGTACATTGTACATTGTACATTTACTTGTATGTTATGTACAGTGTACATTGTACATTAACTTGTATGTTATGTACAGTGTACATTGTACATTAACTTGTATGTTATGTACAGTGTACATTGTACATTAACTTGTATGTTATGTACAGTGTACATTGTACATTGTACATTAACTTGTATGTTATGTACAGTGTACATTGTACATTAACTTGTATGTTATGTACAGTGTACATTGTACATTAACTTGTATGTTATGTACACTGTACATTGTACATTAACTTGTATGTTATGTACAGTGTACATTGTACATTGTACATTAACTTGTGTGTTATGTACATTGTACATTAACGTGTATGTTATGTACATTGTACATTGTACATTGTACATTAACTTGTATGTTATGTACAGTGTACATTGTACATTGTACATTAACTTGTATGTTATGTACAGTGTACATTGTACATTAACTTGTATGTTATGTACAGTGTACATTGTACATTAACTTGTATGTTATGTACAGTGTACATTGTACATTAACTTGTATGTTATGTACAGTGTACATTGTACATTGTACATTAACTTGTGTGTTATGTACATTGTACATTAACTTGTATGTTATGTACAGTGTACATTGTACATTAACTTGTATGTTATGTACATTAACTTGTATTTTATGTACTTTAACTTATATGCAAAACTCAACTTGTTAGGTACTGTTAATAAAGGTCTTTTTGGGTTGGTATCGTTGGAAATATCAGTCTAACTTAAAGTCGTTAATATCAAACTAGCAAAACTATATGGAGCCTTTTAATGACGATTAAAAGCCAGGAGACATAGACGCCCGAATTAGACTGATTGAGAAACTCTGATTGTTAATATGTATTTGTTTTTGTTTTTTGTTTCAAAACTTCTTCCTGTTTCTAATATCTAAACTTGTTTAACCAATTCATCAGGAGTCACCTCAGAACAGCTCATCTCAGAATCAGAGCTATTTGAAGTTGAAGGGGACAAGTTGGAGCGGAGTACCGGGGAACGCGCACTTGCTTTAGCTTGTTTTACTAAGGCAGCAAGTGAGTCTAACATATCCCAGTTCAATTAGTAACGGGTTTTATATTAACAGGAAACGATTACGGTAATAAATAACAGAGTTAACACGAACAGAGTTAATGTATTTTAATATATAATGTTGCCATGGGGTGGAAAGTCCCCATTTATCGTAGTCCGATAGTTTTACTGCATCGTAATATTATATGTAACCAGGAATTACCTGGGATTCTCAGGTTTTAGTGTTCTTAAATTAAAATTAAAGATATAGCGGAGTGATAGCCCAGCATGAGTAACTTGTAAAAGGATGTAAATTAGCTTTTGTATAATTTTCAATCGCATGAATGTGTGTTAAAAAACAAATGTAAATTCGTTATCTAGGTCTTATCAAATTCCCAAATACAAGGAAAAGTTTCATTTTCTGTTTTAAGATTTTCGATCAACCAATCTTTGAATTTCAACAGGTCTATCAAAAGCAGTAAGTGAGCTAGAATCAATAAGCCCTGATGTCCAGCTAAGAGCACAAATCAGAAGAGAAAGTTGCCTCAAAAAAGCCCGAAACATTTACCGGAAAATGTTGGTCGAGTCCGTTCAAAACCCTCAGCATCCGATTACTAAGAAATCTAAGAAGACGAAACAGGTACTTACTCTTATATGTACAGTAGAACCCCGATTAACCGCGCCCTGATTTACCGTGGTTGTTTCCTTTCTCCCAAACTCCACGGTAAATGGGGGTTTACTGTATCTTTCATGATCATGATCATATGTTTTCAACATTGTGTTACTTGGCCGCGCTCAGCCTGTCATTCCGCCGAATCTTTATTCATTCTTTATTCATTCTTATGTCTATAAACATTATAATAGCCTGGGGCCCCCAGGTTGATATTTTGCCAATATTTATTCCCGGCTCAGAGAAAAGATGGAAATATTAAATGATTTAAACCGCAAGCAACCCTCATATCACAAGATTTCTATCGCGGGATGAAAGTGCAGGTCTTTGTTTGATAAATCTCCTCAACATTTTAAATATAAAAGAGAAATAAAAATGATAAAATTTATGATAAATTGGCCAGCTCGTATATGAAATAGCATAATCAGAGTCAACTAAACGAATCCAAGCAGTTAAAAACACCATTATACCAATGTTATTTCCTCGAGCAAATCTTAAAGCCCCCTAAAAACCCATTATGTTTCAGTTTATTCTTTATTGTTTTTATTGTTTTAGTTTATTCTTTACTAGCAGGAACCCGTATAACCCTAAAATGGTGTCATTTGTCAAGACTCAAGAGACTAAAATAATTATTACCTATTTAATTCGCGTTTTTGACACCACTTGGTGGTCCAAATTTTGGGCTCTAAAACTCCTATTTCTTGGCCAATTTTGTATTTCTTCATGCTGATTTGAAGGCCATTAAAGCATTTGGCCCAGTCAAAAAAGCATCAAACGGTGGCTTTCAGTTTCATCATCTTCTGTTTTTAAGGATTTGCCTTTCGCTAGGCAAGTTATCTGTGCCATTCATGCTTGTTCAATCAGAAACCCTATTTCGGATCAGCTGAGCTGCAATATTTCTGGTATATCTGCTCAATTGAACTTAAATTATTCCTCTTTGTTTGTTCCATGGCTATCACACGAAACTGCAGCTCCAGGGGTGCATCAATAAACAACTCTTCTAAACGTGTAGTGTATTTGTATAAACTTTCTATTCCGAGTCCAAAACTTACTATTCCGCAAGAATTATAACTGTAAACACTGAACATGTGAACATGTGAATTTTATTGTGCGTGTGAAATCCGCTACTTTAAAAGTAATTTTAATTAGTGATTAGTAGGAAATTAAAAATAATATTGAGTTGGCGAAAAAATAAAATCTTGCCTTGGCAAATATTTGTCCTGTCCAGCAAGCATCCCTTATTTATTACTTTTATAGCATTAGCAAAAAAGAAACTATAATTGCCATTCGCAACGCATTTATTGACGCGTTGCTGATCGTTTAACCTTGTACCTGGCATTTCATAGAAATTTGGTAACGCATCATGATTATATTATGTAAATTATCTAAGAAAACAAAAATGTACTTTCGTGGGACGTCTCGTTTAGCGAGCTAGTTATCTTTGAGCCTGAGGCACGGCTTCCTGTCCTTACTTTACCTACACTTTCTTTTGAATTATTTCTGAATTGCTACATCTCCGCAAGTAAATATATTAACTTGATTCACCTTCCTGTTACTTCTTTTTTATCTAAAAACCTCCCAGCTAATCAATGACTGAATGAATCGAAGGGTTTTGGCATATTTTTTGATATTTCATATATGAGGAGGCAGTATAGTGCCTCCTAAAAAATAAAATTTTTTTAAAGAATTTAAAAAATTCAAATAATTTAAAAATACTGTCTCCTTATATGTGAAATATCAAAAAATATAAAACTAACCGCAGGGCCCGATGAATCGTGGATGTATGGCAACATTTGATATATTAAATTTGTTACACGATCGCTTCCTGTTAATAAACAATTAACTCCGTATAACACAATAGGATTTGACGTATGTTGTATGCTAATCAGTTGATTATAATCAAGGGCAAAGAAGCCTTCATATTATTCTTTAGTTAAAATAAATTTCGAATTCAATTGATTGTAGTATCTTTTACAGTTTTACCAATAGCTCAGATAGTATATAGCTAGTATACTGCATCATGCATGATTACTATAATAATAGTATAATGGTGGCCATGACCTAATGACGAATTAATATTTAATGGTTCCATAAACGAAGGCTGGAATTTATCATGTTATTTAGTTCCGAGATAAAAAACGACTTTGAGAAAATAAAGATTATAACCCAGAATTCTAATATGAACAATATAGATCATGTAAAATAAACAAACGATAAACTTTGAAAGATAAGCGGAAACTGATAGATGTGATGGTTAAGAAATAGAGATAAAAGGCGGGGACTGCTCGTACGTTTTGTAATGGTTTGGCCAATACGAGGTCGCGTCTTCAGCCACGTGGTTTTTTCCACTAATAGGGAGCTCTATGTGGTGTGATTGGTCATTCCGTTGGCGAGTAAACTCTCCGGACAGAGTGTTGCCTGATATGGTCCGTGTGCTCAGTTCTTTTTTATCAGTTTAGTTGACCGTTACTACATTACAGTAATGCTTTCATCATTTTGTCGGAGAGCTTACACTTACGGTTATAATTATTAGCTTATATTTTCTGGTTTTGCTGCTTAAGTTTAGGCTTCTAAATCTAACGACTTACGACTTCACAATTTTCAGCAAATTCACGAAGTGTTTATCATAGATTTAATTGTCGTGTAGAATTAATATTTAATTCTGTTTTTGTACTTAACGTTTATCAAATTAATTTGGCAGTTGTGTCTCGTCATTCGTCATTTTCTTTATTAAGTCATTCATATGAAAAGGTAAGATTTTTTGAGACATTATGCTAAATATGGTCAACCCTAAATTATACGAAACATTATGATTTAAAACACTTTTATTTAACTGAAAGACAGATAAAATGAATGATAACACATTCTATAGTGGATAGTAATTTCATAGTAATTAGCATTATATAAATAACTACAATAACGAATAGTTAAGTTTGGTTAGTGGGTGAAATTATTTGCAAAATAACGCTCAATTGCTAGCTTAATATGTTTGTATTGTTATCAGCACAGTGGCGCAATCGGTTAAGCATAAGCCTTATCTGTCTGTCTAGCCCGGACGTAGCGAGATCGAGTCCCGGCTTGGTCAAAATCTCAAAGTTTTCAAAAATCGGTAATTAGTTCGTAAAAGTTCACTCATTGTAGAGCTATCACATATTCAAGGCTTATGTATACATGTTTCATAACAATAGAACTAGTCACCCACTTACGTTATTACACAGTAACATCAATTCTAATATCGTATAATGCGAGCGTAGTTACTCAGTTTATCTAACAAATGTAACATGTAAGGTGTATCGTCTAATGTTCTACCCTCCCCTGGGTACATAACAACAGAGCAGTGTACACGTGCTCTTGATAACACTAAGTAAAGTGTAGCCAGGCCACGCTCCTCACTACCCCACACTTCACTCAGTACTATTACAGCAGGCCACTCACTAGAGGCACAATACCAACTGTCACACACTGCAATCTTACTAGCAGTGTTCTTACATCTCATATTAACACTGTTCCTAACTAGTGATACTACATCCCTACTACTAGTGTAATCAGTATATACTATACCTATATCAGAATAATCTAATTCATGTGTAGCACACAATCTATCTAAATCAATATTAAAAACACTTACAATACTATCAACATTATAATCATTAAAAACATGTATAACAGGTAATGTACCGTGTATAAAGTGTCCAGGTGATTGTGAAGGTAAAATAATATCTAAAATATCTGATTTAAGAGAACATAATTTAACGAATTGATCTCTGATTACAGATAAAATATTCGATAAATCAAACGTATTTCTCAAGTTACTAGATAAAGTAGTCCTCTGATGAGGTGCTAATATATCAGTAAGTACATTAGCTACTATTGAAATGAGATCTGTGTTAAATAACGACCAAACCTGGACAATATCACATGCTATCCACACAATCTTATCTGCTGATAAGTCTTTTAACGTGTTAATCAATAAAGCCCACTCTTCAGCTGTGGTATTATATCTAATTACTGTCTGTATATCATCAACAAACAAATTATAACCACTTAGTACACTGAGTCTATCTGTTAAATATGTGGTATCTTCATAACCTGGTATCTCCACAATAATAACATTACACGAACTCTCTGTTATAAGATTAGCTAGTTGTTCGGGAGTGTGTTCATATTCACTAGTGCTTATCAGTTTGTAATTTATACTAGCGTTATCTAACGCACTTTGATAATGCTGTGAATTGTTCCCTTCTCCAGTAAACTTAAATACCACAACTTTATTGTTCTTATCAGACTCTAACAGTTGCAGTATTTTACCACACAATATGACAGTTTTGCCCGCCCCTGCGGGTCCGTTAATCAACAACAAATTCTCTTTGACTTGAAAGCATTGTGTTGTTCTACTGTTAGGTTTTCCACATTAGAATTGTTTCTGATAACATCGGGAGCTTTGACAACTGCGGGATTTTGATTACGGTTTTTACCTTTTTTAGGCTCAAAAGTAATGCGACCTTCCTTAAGCTGTTTGTTGACATCCATAATACATCGTCCTAAACTGCACTTGGATTTATCACACGTGTTTCTCTCTGTGGCCCAAATAGCTAACAAAATGTTCCTTACTTTCTCATGGGAATCTGAAGATGATGAATTGGCCTGAGTTACATTCGCTGCCCACCGAGCAACAAAAGTAGATAAATTCTCGTCTGATTTGAATAATTTCCTGTTTGAATCAGTGTCTGAGTTTGATAATTCTAGTTCGCTACTCGTGTCATCTGTAACAGCGTCTTTTTTGCAGCAGCGAGAAAAGCAACTTACTAAACGAGAAAGCCAGTTGTCCTGTAGATACGACTGCTCTGTCAAACTTGTCGACTCAATTGTCACCGAATCATTCGAGGATTTCCTTAAGTCTTCAAGTTTGTTGCGACAAAGGTCCTCTTCAAATATGATAGTTGACAGTTCATCGTCACTTAACCGGAGTTCTGTAGTCTCACTAAATTGAAACTCATCTTTAAACTGTTTACTAAAATTAGGATAGGCAGTGAACTGAAGAATTTTTGCATCTTTATCCATACACTCGATCAGTTCCACAATCTTGTTTCTTTGTTTGACTGATTTCTGGAACGTTCCATTCAATGCTTTCAACTGCTGGTCTCTGTTACACTGAGGTTGCCAGTCCTCGCCAATTGAACACAGGTGGAAGTCTGGTTCACATTCCACAACCTCTCCAACATTATCCATGTTCTTTACCTCGATGATAATGAAACTGTCCGCACAAATGATGAGAAAGTCACTTTCCCCCTCCTGATTTTCTGCATTCTTGCTTTTACATTTAGAACATCCACTTCGGATATGACGTTCACCTGCACACAAACGATATTGATGATGCGTGTATTTGAAACTGTGAAGAACAATGAAGTTTCCATCTACCTCTTCCAAAGCCCTATACACCTCAACTTCAGTCTCGTAGTCTAATTGATGTCGTCTGTCATCTGTAAAGCTGGGACCGGGCTGATCTTCATCTGGATATACATCAATGTAGGTCTGCTCTGGTGCTCTTGGAAGCATTGTGAATGTGGGCAGGTTTTCAGCTGTTGAGCAATATTCTTCGTATATTTGTTTGCCATATTCCAAATAGTTATCCATTGTTGATCAATTGATATATCTGAAATGAAATCAGCTGTAAGGGGGGTTGATGCAGATTAAAAGATCGAACATTCCAGGATCAACATAGGTTCTTATATTATCACACAGCTCTCGTGGTACATAATTATCAAATTTCAATTAATATTTTTAATGACTTACTTGTTCAGTGGTCGTTCAGTGGTCGTTTTGCGTTTAGTGCTTTGAATTGAATAGAGGGTCCGAGGTTTGTTTCAGTGGTGTGTTTCCTTATTGGCCTATAAAACAGTAGTTATATAACTGTGTAACTATTGCGTCAAAAGCCAGATATTTTCGAATTATAATATATTAGGAGCAGCGTCAAATAATAAGAGCTGATAAAATGTTTATTACTTTGTTGAAAAGAGACGATTTTTTTGTAACTATAAAGCAGTGTGTTGATTCAAAAAATTGATAATAATATTCATTATGCTCCAAGGCAATTAAGTTATCTGTGACCCCTTTTTTCATGAGTCAAGTAAATAGCCGGTCGGATTGTACCCAATTTCTGTGTTGATTTTAGATTAAATGCTTCCCGGTTATACTTATAGCCTTTTCAGATCTGAAATTTCTTAGTCCATACTCCATATCATTTTTGCTCAAGCTAGTATACTTTCATGATTCATCATTAATTTAGTATTGCGGTTCAAGGATATTTATTTTCCTCCTGAATTTGAACAATCATTCAAATTATATAAATGGATCATTCTATTTTGGTACCTGATGTTCAGAGCTATAAGATTTAGAGACTGTTAAGATGGAATATGAGTTGGTTTGATCCGCTATTTCTTTGAACCAAAACCTGAAATATACTCCATGTTACTTTCTTATATTTATACTTTTAAAGCGGCGCATTCATGGCAGCTGTAGAGTGTAGAGTGTAGCTTATAATAATGTAACATTAGCTGTGCCGTAATTCAATCGCAATTATAAGTTAACTGAAATTTAGTATGTAATTGATAATTAATAATGATTGATCACAGAAGGAATATTACATCGTCTAAATCCTATAAAACGTTCACAAACCTGCAATAACCTGGGGTAGGATATAGTCTTCACAAGATAGATTACAGTTAGGAAGTAGTTGCTCGAATAAGTTGTTTTGATCCTGTACTTCTTATCACTGAAATTTGATATACTCCACGTGAGTTTCTTTATATTACAGCTTTAAAATAGCGTGCTGGAGCTGTCGTATTATCAAATAGTACCCATTTAGATGTCCCTCAAATTAATCAACAAATTAATCAATCAAAAACTTATATAGAATGAAGATTGAGTTGTCTAAATACCGTATAATATTAACAAACCTGCAATAACCTGGGGTAGGATATAGTCTTCACAAGATAGATTACAGCTAGGAAGTAGTTGCTCGAATAAGTTGTTTTGATCCTGTACTTCTTATCACTGAAATTTGATATACTCCGCGTGAGTTTCTTTATATTACAGCTTTAAAATAGCGTGCTGGAGCTGTCGTATTATCAAATATTACCCATTTAGATGTCTCTCAAATTAATCAACAAATTGATCAATCAAAAACTTATATAGAATGAAGATTGAGTTTTCTAAATACTGTAAAATATTAACAAACCTGCAATAACCTGGGGTAGGATATAGTCTTCACAAGATAGATTACAGCTAGGAAGTAGTTGCTCGAATAAGTTGTTTTGATCCTGTACTTCTTATCACTGAAATTTGATATACTCCGCGTGAGTTTCTTTATATAATTACAGCTTTAAAATAGCGTACGCTGAAGCTGTCGTATTATCAAATAGTACCCATTTAGATGTCCCTCAAATTAATCAACAAATTGATCAATCAAGAACCCGGTGGATGTCCTTGCTGTACGGCAGTGTTATAAACAAGGAACTGAAACCGAGGGGTTCCGTTCAGGCCCTTCCCTTTTTGGCGCCCCTCCCTAAAATTGAACAAATCAGGTGATTTTAGAGGATATAACGCCGATAAAATTTCTAAAAAAGTGTGTTTCCAGAGCAAAACGCGCAGTTTTGCTAGTTATACCTCAGTTAAGTTTTTCAAAATTGTCCCACATCCAAACGACGATTTGGCGCCCTTCTAAGATGGTGCCCCCCCCCCCCCCCCTCTTCCCGCACAGCGGGGTCAGCGGGGCTCTTCGTTACGCCACTGCTTACTAGTTACTACCCCACTTCTAATGCATATTTCATGTCTAGAACTAGGCCAGAATGTGGCTGAGTTTTATAAGTATAACTTGGCAAAACCTATTTGCTATACATCTTCCCCTTACCTGCCAAGAAGTTATAAATGTCTCGTCAAAAAGGATGCGTCGATTAAAACAAGCTAACAAATCAGGTCAGGTTTAGTGTTTAAGCTTACAAAGACACGAGATCGAGAATAAGAAATGAGTCACAACGTGCTGACGAACCAACGAACCATTCTGATGTAGATTACATTTACATGCATTTAGAGTAGAGGGACATGATTTAATGCGTCACGTGCACTTCACGTGACCCGTCCGAGAGAGCTCAGAATACCGAGTTTAATGTCAGCTGGTTAGGTAACGTGATGTGTAACGTGACATTTCATTAGATCACTCGGGTGTTATATTACCTTCCTACGCGAATGAGCTTAGTACACATCATTCTACTCAACGCCCAAGACGTTGAGTGCTATAAATAGAGATTATATTGCGACAATCTTAAAACGTGATGTAATGGCTATAAACGCTAGTTTAGCGACTATAGCGTTTGTAAAAAGTTACTAGATTACTAAAATAATAGGTACTAGCCAAATCGTGTGTTTTCATGCTCTAGTAACACATGTTTGATTCACTGTTACCGTTGCAGGTATACTCAGAGAAGAGATCCTGCACTCGCTGCAGTAAGATGGTGTTTTGGCTAAAATGTGGGCTTTGCTCCGACTGTGACCTCTTATCACGTGACGAAAAAAGAGCGGTAAGGAAGTTAAATTTGTCTTACCAGCAACTCGTTCATTTATTACAATGTTCTTATAAACTTCATAAACGAGTATTCATGCTTTTCTCATTTTAATTGTTTCCGTTTCGCTAAAATAGATTGTTTGATATCAACACACGGCGTAAGATTGTTAATTAAGCTACATTAATCAAGATAATTAAGCTAAATAAAGCTTATTAAGCTAAATTAAGTTAATCAAGCTAATTATGCTTAATTAAATTGATTAATCTGAATTAAGTTAATTAAGCTAAATATTTCAGAAAGTAAACAGAGTGGAGACAAAGCACATACGAGATTTCACGATACCTAAACAAGCTCAGCAAAATAAGTAAGTTCAAAGTTCGTGATGTTATTTTATACATATTATATTGTTCATAATAATATTGTATAATAGTGACAGTGTAACCCGGCCTTCATATTATAATTATATTGTTCATAATAATATTGTATTATAGTGACAGTGTAACCCGGCCTTCATATTATAATTATATTGTTCATAATAATATTTTATACTATTGTAACCCGGCCTTCGTGATGCTATTTTATACATATTATATTGTTCATAATTATATTGTATACTAGTGTGTTTGTTTGTTTATAGAACCCGTCCCAATCTCGTATCGGAAACTGACGAAACTCATTTTTGGGTGTGAATACGGGTGGTACCTGCAAGTGTGTTCATTAAGCATTTGGAGTTCTGTAAAACTGCGGTTACAATTGTGCTAGAGTATTTTTATTATTTACGATCGGTATCCTTGCATGCTTCCAAAATTGTAAATCTCCAACTTTCTGCACAATGTACTGGACTGGTTTAAAAGAGGAAAAGAAAAAAATAAATATATATTATAGATAAAAAATAGTGTATAATTCTAGTGTACATGTAACCGGCCGGCCGGGATTGCACTGCCGCAGTTAAAAAGGGTAGGATTATTAACCCGCTGAGTCAGTAACACATAATCGCATAATATTCTCATGGATAATTTATTAGGTGCCACATTCCATGATCATAAGGTTCGTACACTCTGTACCACGACTATTACACCTTATCACTCCAGTCTTGAACCGCTTTCCATTAATTTTATTTAAATCGTTTTAGAAATTAACCCTAATTATTAACTCCGTACCACATGACCCGCCTATTATATTTGAAAACATGCATTACATTGTCGTATGAAAGTATGAACTCTTTCTACAGTCCAAACAGACCGCAATCAATGCCCCCCCCCCCCCCCCTAATAATGCCCCCCCCCCCCTAATAATGCCCTTCATATATCACCCCTTATAAGCTTAAAGTATCATTTGCGGGGCTAACCTTATTATGATTCATGTACCAACGCTGCATTACCTGGGGACCTCAGACTAATATGTTCATAAACATTAGAGATTCGGCGGAATGACAGGCTGAGCGCGGCCCAGTAAACGGTGCATAATATGCAGTAATAGAAGAGAGAGCGAAGAGGGAAAAAAAGTGAGCCATTTTATGTCGTATTAGTAATAGTGGTACAAAACCATCAATAAAAACACTTACCGCCGGCCGATTAAAAAAAAAAGCTTATTGGCGATGTCAGAGTTTTTTAGGCACTATACCGAAAAAACCAGTCCCGTAACTCTTACCGTTTTTTTAATATAGCCCTTCGGAAATTGCCCACACACACATTTATTGAAAATATATATATAGATTAATATTGATATATCAGTTTATATATGGTTATTTTCATCCTGCAGATCATTTTATTTATTAGATGGTGGTGGGCACTGATTGTTCATTGCAGAAGTTTCTGTTTAAAATTAGGATTAACTATTTAGAAATTTATAACCATTAAATGTTTTACAGGATCCCTGAAGAGTCTTTTGTTTCACCAAAATCCTGTGCTCTCTGCTCGGCAAACTCAAAGACAAAGAAAAAGTGAACTTGAATCTCACAGCAGAATATCTTTACGGGCAAACTTCAAGATGATTTGATGGAAGTTTAATTACAGTGTTAATCCAAGACGATTGTACTTGAATTTTGATTGTAGAGAAAATACAATGGTTGCCAGTCAAAACAATTTAGATGCCAAATTCAGCTGGATTCATAAAGTATGAATGGAATGATGGTTCGGCTCCAATCATAACGAGGAGTTCATATTTCTTGGAAGCAAAAGATATCCAATTGTTTGTAGTACCTAATGCCAATGGCTTTGTGAAAGCAATTATTCTTCGACCTAAATAAGTAAACAGGATGATTTTACTTTACCCTACCAGAAATAGTTTCTCTCAAACTTCATATTAAAGATATTTTTAGCTAACTGCATTTTAACTTTTGAAGGATTCGAAATTCTATTATTTGAAAAAAACTTAATCTATTCTATTCTACGTTTTAGTAGAAATAAATTATTACTCTTATAACAAAACATAATAGAGTTTTGCTTATCCAATTGTTTTATGTTTGCATATCAAAAACCAAAAATTGAGTTATGAGTACATTTAAACGTAAAAATTGAAATGTCATCAGAGTTTGCCATTAATCAAATTGGCGCTCCTATCTGATTCCAACAGCTATAAGTATAATAACAACAAAAGCAAAAATGCATACTTTTCACAACAGTTAAAACCACGTAGCCAAAAATAATGAACAATTATGTTGCTTTCTTACTCTACTGCAATGAATCGCTCGCGTTCCCACTTAAAATTTCCTGTGAATAGGCCCTGAGGGTATTTAAGTGATCTAGTTCGGTGTATTTTTGGACGCTGATTCCGAATCACCCCCTGGTACGTAATACGTATAGTAGGCTGACGTAGAGTAAAAAATAAAAATGCTTCCCTGGAGAGTTATGGGCAAAAAAACCGTTCTGGTCACGTGACAGGCTAGTAAAACACGAATTCGATTGTTAAGGGTTCGTTATGGATAGCTCCAGAGTTATGCTTAGGGTTAGGGTGGGGTTGCGTTTTTATGTAAAACCGTATCATTCGGCTGCAAAACCATAAAAACCAAAGTCATGTGATAATTTTTGGGCGAGCGATTTAGTAAGAGCCGTAATACATATACTATATTAATATAGTATATATTATGCTTATTTTTATATTGAATATATATTGCAAATACCATACTTTAAGCCAAGGCTCAAAATGAGTTGCAGGATCATTCGAATAAATGAACAACCTTAAATTTGAATAAATGTACAATAATCTGAATTAATAGGGAGTCTCCGCAGCAAGTACAGTGTACACTCGCACACAAACATCATTATTATAAATATAATGACAATCAAATAACACAATATCAGGGTCACAGCTTGAATTTGTTTACAGTTTAAACATAACAATCAAATAACACGTGGCAAGTGCTATAATTTAACAAGCGTGTTTGTACAGGAATATTCCTGAATTATGGTCGCTTAAAGTTACGAAACATAAGGGTCACTCCAAGTTCAGTTCAAAACTTGGCTCCATATTGCATATGCGTAGGTTTAACATTTAAAATATTATTTTATCAGCCACCGTTCACGGAGAAAAAAAATCTTAAGTTAGATTTATAATTCTGATCCGATCATAGTGTTCACATTGTTAATGTCATTACTCTTCCTTTTGAGTGGAGCAGAGTAGTAAAGGAGTAATGTAGCTGAAGTGAGCAGCAAAGAACACTCCGTTAGTTAGGAGTAGTACACTCAAAGTTATGACTGCTTGACTGCTAATCTGAACAGCTCAAAACATCCACGAAATAGTACCAACCAACAAAAAAGAAATAATCATCAACTGAGTATTACTATTATATACGATTTATCTGTGTGGAAGTTTTGTTGATTCTGATAAGTAACAAGTTTAATGTATGACTTAATCGCTCGCCTTATCCAACAGAAATACAATTGATAGAACGGTGTGAGTTTGGATGTTTGGTGTGATAATGTAAAATTAAATATAACTAATACATAATACGATTTTCTATGCACTGAGAAGCTATTTTAGCTTTTTTATCACAAGAGATAATCGTGCTCCCTCCCTCCCTCCCTCCCTTCCTCCCTCCCTCCCTCCCTCCCTTCCTCCCTCCCTCCCTCCTCCCTCCCTCCTCCCTCCCTCCCTCCCTCCCTCCCTCCCTCCCTCCCTCCCTCCCTCCCTCCTCCCTCCCTCCCTCCCTCCCTCCCTCCCTCCCTCCCTCCCTCCCTCCCTCCCTCCCTCCCTCCCTCCCTCCCTCCCTCCCTCCCTCCCTCCCTCCCTCCCTCCCTCCCTCCCTCCCTCCCTCCCTCCCTCCCTCCCTCCCTCCCTCCCTCCCTCCCTCCCTCGCTCCCTCCCTCCCTCCCTCCCTCGCTCCCTCCCTCCCTCCCTCCCTCCCTCCCTCCCTCCCTCCCTCCCTCCCTCCTTCCCTCCCTCCCTCCCTCCCTCCCTCCCTCCCTCCCTCCCTCCCTCCCAGCCGTCACTCAAACCATGGTGTGAAATGTGAATGGTAGTGGCTCTCATTAGAGCTGCGAAAATAACACGAGTGCATATGCCTGGGGTTGCGTCCCGACTATGCTGCAGGGAAATCTGCACCGAAAGGGACCGTGGCCGCACCGCAAAAGAAAAGGAGATCGGCCCCTCGATCCTAGCTTGCTAGGTTGCGCCATTGTTGTTGTGTTTGTGTGTGTGTGTGTGTGTGTGTGTGTGTGTGTTATAACTTTTTATCATCCGACATGTCGGATGATAAAAAACATTCTCACTCCCTCCCTTCCCCACATACTATACCTAAAATATGGGGTACATGGGGGCTTATCATTCGTAAATTTGTCCCGATTTTTACGAATGAAGTTATTTTAATTAAATAACCTGCAAAAATGTAGATCTGCAGAAACCTAAACATTCTGATCCTAATTACCGGATTATGAAAAGTGAAACTCGCTAAACCGGTATGTTTGTACCCTGATAGTGATTCCTATTTAATTTTCCTGTCACAACATTCTCTTCAGACTATAGTAAATGGGCAGGATGAAATGTTAAATTTTTTGGTATTATAATTAACGGATTGACATACGTTGCATGCCATTTTCGCTGATATTTGTGATACCCAGCAAACCCTACCGGCTGGGGTCTATCTCCAAAAGTAAAATAAATAGAACCTTCCGGTTTTCAACAAGATTTCCACCATTATGCATTTGGTGTGATAAGCAAAAATTGACAGAAGTGGTATTGGTAGTGTGCTGATTGTCAAGTATTTCTCTAACCAGAGCCCTCCCGCTTGCAGTAGCGCGCGACTGCCGAATGTCGTTGATGGAGAGGTTATAGTTTTGAAATTACTGCCCTCTGAGCTGGGCACTGTCCAAGGAAGTGTGAGACAGTCTCCTCTCTGCTACACGTTATACTTGTATACCTGTACAGAAATCCAGCTGATCTTAATTCGACAAGGAAAGTGAGAAGATATAGAATTAACGTAAATGACCGTTCCTTATTATATTTTATTTTTGGTGTCATTATATTTATAATAACGACACCAAAAATAAAATCGAACTTCATTTTTGTTATAGCCATTTCCATGACAGTCTTAAATAAAATGATTGAGTCAGTCTGACTCTGACAAACCTCGGTGGACATTAACAGACCGTAAAAGATTTTGACTGCACAAATATTATTTTCCAAACATTATAACTGGCTGGTCACACACATCTCAATTAAATTACCCTAGGTTACTGTTTTCCAAGTCTTGTCCTGTGAGTAAAGTATGTGTGAGAAAGGTTTAATAAAATGAATGTATATTTTTGAATTTTTAAATTTTAATTTGAGAATGAAGTATAAAGAAATTTTTAATTAGCATTGTATAGTTTAAAATATTTATAGCTTATTATAACCATTGATAAATTTGGGCCATAATCTTTCGCCGCGCCAGCTCTCCAATATCCACCTTGAAGCTGCATGTTTAATCCTTGAACTACACAATGTAAACTCAAGCATGTTTTAGTGTAGACTTTTTGTCACAACAAGACTGCAACCTATAGTAAAAACTTTAAACAGAACCCCTAATGTCTGCTAACAATTTTCTTCTAATCCTAATGTGAGCCTTGTCTCTAAAAACTTAACTGAACTAGCATTTCGGTGTGTGCAAAAGCTTCCAGGCACGTGCATTCCTTGCCCCGTTAGTTACCTGTCCTTCCAAAACCAAACAAGCAGTCAAGGACAAAAAGTCATACAACCAAATGGGCATTATATTTATGAATTGTTTTACATCTTTATATTCTGTAAAATGTGCTAAAATTAAATTTCTTGTTTCATTGAAATTTATTGTTTCATTGAATAGAATAATAGTACCTACGCATATTGCTTATTTGACAAAAACGCCGCCGACTGCCGAGGTTTATAATTTATAAACTCGGCTTAATTTTACTACTTTTAATATCCTGTATGTGATTTATTAGGCAAGAATATCGAAGACAACAGTTAACTTCCTGTATGCTATCTTAGATCACTGATCTATTTGGTCAGGAAATCCGAAGAAAATATAGGAAAGGAATGTGTCGTTGATTATGCTCACAAATTTCCTGCACATAAAAGCATTATAAAACTCGGATATCAAACATTATTCATGAATTCAGGAGACATAAAGAAGCTTTCCCTCATATGTAATATGTATATACTACATATATAAATATATATTAATATATATCGTCATTCCGCCGAATCATTATTCTTTATGTTTAATGTTCCTTTACCCTTCACACTCTATTTAGTCGATCAGTTTACCCGACCCAGGTTAATTTCGTTATTATCAGCCCACCTAAAGATTTTATTCCATTGAATATACAAAGCGTTTATTTTATCCTAGTCATCAGGATCACGCGTTGCAAGAAACTTTTTAGTTCATAGTAGCTATTTACAAGACTGGACTTAGACTACGTGGCAGGGTACGATAGATTTATTGGAGGGAGTAAAATTACATTATAAATAAATGTGCAAAATCTATAAATGAAGTTAGGACGAATACTGTATTCCCTGTATTACAGTCCGCTCTGAAAAATGCATATATCCCTGAACAATCGCATATTATCCTCGATAACTCACTTTTCGTCTTGCACTTCAGGTAACAGGGAACTGACTTCCAATCGAATTTCAATTAGATAATAGCGGTGTTTTATTGAAATAATGATCCCTGGAGGTGCAGTAAAAATCTTGGCTCGCAGACTGACAAGTCTGACATTACCATAGAATCGCAAATTCCACCTTTGCGGCTTGAAAATATGATCTTATTACGCGACGTAGACACTTGTTTTATTTACGTTGTTTTAATTACGTTATTTCATTTACATTGTTTTATTTAGGCTGTTTTATTTACGTTGTTTTATTTAGGTTGTTTTATTCACGTTGTTTTATTTACGTTGACCACGTTTTTATTTACGTTGACCACATTTTGTTTTCTATATCATACTTTTTAAGTACACATTGGCATACACTCAAATTCCACATTCACATT